AAAAAAAAAAAAAAAAAAAAAAAAATCACTAGAAATATGAAGAACTTCTACATCCTCATTCCACAAAAGAAGAAGCCCTCCACAACCCCCTATAGGATCTACAGAGGAATATCTATCCTTGAATCCCAACTTAGTACAAACAGATTTAGTGAAATTATTTGGTTTTCTAACTTCAGATAAAAAAAGAAAATTTGGGTGATGGATCCTTAAAGATTCCTTGATCTGGGGGACTGTAGAGGGCCCACCCAGACCTCTATAGTTCCACACTTGAGATTTCATTGACATCTTGAGGGTCCTTTAAAGGCTGCCCCTCAACTCCTGAATCTGCAAAGTTTTGGATTTTTTGTCTTTGGACTGAGAATGATCATCCTCTTGCTCCAAGGTCATAGCTTGGTCCTCTGGTTCTCTGGGCCTTTTGGAAGAGGTGGAAAAATCACCCATTGAGCACTCCATCCCATTACTGGAAAGTCTGCCTTCCTTAATGCCCTTTCTTTTCCAGGTCTTCTTGCCAATTATAGATTTTGGAAGAACTCTTTTATAACTCCCTTTAGGCCCTTCTAGATTAAGTTGTTCCTCTGTAATGACTACAAGATCCAACTGATAATCTCCATTATTATCTGGCATGGAAAGACTCCCCAGATTTGGCTCAGGTTGAGGCTCTACAAGCACCAGGCCTCTTTCCCTTATTTCCCCTTAAGAATCCTCTCCCAACTTGGAAACTCTGGACTCCACCCTCTCTATAATTTTACCTTTATAGCCCTTATTTCTACCGTCCTTAGAGCCTCCCCTAAGAGGATCCTCGTTGTCAGCCACTGCATCCTGGATATTAACAGTAGATGATGGAGAATCCCCTTCTTGCCCTAAAACTTCTCAGATTTTGTCTAGCTGACCCCTGCAATCCCTCATAAGCCCTTAACCAATCTCCATATTGACCCTTCTTCAACCCATCCTTTGCAATGTCCTCAATTCTGAGCTCACATCCTTTCTCAATATGTCCTACTTTGCCGCAGTAAAAGCACAAATTCACTAACCTTTCGTACTTGAAAGTTACTGTGACCATTTGTGAGCCCAGCCTTATAGTGGCGCATCTAGGCAGAGCCTCGTTAAGGTCCACAAACACCAGCAGCTTCAGGATTCTCCCCCCTTGGATCGCAGAGTTTGAAACAATAACGTTGAATGTTGATGGGAAGACTTTGCCAATTCTGAGACCCACTTCATTAGTTAACCAGTTAAGAGGAACATGGTGGACTTGAACCCACATTTTGAGTTTGGAAAAACATTCATTTCTGAAATTCAACCCTTCCTTCCATCGCGTGATAATTAGATACTGGTTCTCGAAGATCCAATTGGTGCCGCTATCAATGCGATTTAAATCCTCCAGATTCTCAATGATAAATTGGAAGAAATTTGGCCCTAGCTCACAGACTTCCGGTTTCCAGATTAGGCTCATAGCCCGCCTAATCCCAATCACATGAGCACATTTTTCTCCCAAAATCTTACCAAACAAGCTCTTATGGCATTCCTCAACCCCTGTTTGAACATCGTCATCTCGAAGGTCAATGATTTTGTTTTCGACTCGAGAAAAAGAGAAAGCCCTCAAACGTTGTTCTACCTCCTCCGCCAGGTTACTAGTATTGACCCCTTCCATGAACACTAGTTTCTCAATAGAGAGAAGCAGCTAGAAGAGAAAAGAAAATCGAAATCCAAAAGGAAAGGTGATCTGAGAATCAAACACGCCGACAAAAGAAGAAACCCTCCAAAAAGGGAAAGAAACTCTCCAATGAGAGAGAAGACTCTCCTAGTGAGAGAAACATTGGCTTTTCAGCCATGTCTCTTTCTCTTTCGTTCGTTATTATTTCCAACAAATACAACTCTGCATGCATAAAATTTGTCTAAAATTTTACAACTCATTTACATATCCTACCTTTGTACATAGCAATGTTTGCTAGCAAAAAGACCGTTATAACTTATATGCAACGCGGAATACACCAGAGCTTTTGGAACTCTAGTAGCTTCGGTTTTTAGCATCATGCTCAATGCATGCAGCCCATTACCCTGAAAATAATTGAAATGTGGAAGTATTACTTTTTCGCGCAAATTCAACGAATAACAAAACATAAAGATGTCCAATGTCTTGCTCTTGCAGTAACAAATCGTACCTTCTGAGCTTCTCTGTAACCCTGAAGAAACACTTCTTCTCCTCCTTTTCTTAGATAAAACCTATACAGCGACATCCACACGCACACAAATTTAATCGAAAGAGCCATTACACACAAATGGCAAAAATATAATCCACAAACGGTACACTTTGACTAAAGCTGTACTCACTTGCAAAAAGCAAAGCAATTTCCACTATGTTTGAGCTATGCAACGAGGCATAGTCTATGTAAAAGTTCGAAAATTAGAAATGAATCAATTAGGGAACTTATCACATCAAGTGAAAAAACAGTCGAAACTCTGAAGTTGGCTGTGTTCATGAATGGAAGTTGTACAATGACTAAGTTCATTAATTGAGAGTTCTTGGTTAATAGCGAAAGTGTTGTACTTGAATCCGCAAATCATATCAAAAGCAAAATAGGAGACCTCAAACACTGATCCCACATATTTTAGATAATGATTGAATTATGGAGAACTAGAAACAAGACTTGAGATTTTAAGAGACTAAAATTCACTGGTTGGTTTTTTAACCAAAATATAACAATATTTTTTAAGAGTAGAGAGTGTGAAACCAATATCCCAACAACCAAATTGCTTTATATCAAGCTATCAAGTACCGTCAATTTAAACAAAGTATTGATGTCAAGGAAATTTATTACTCTTCCCATTTCATGTCCAAATGTTAAAAAAGATACTTTCTTCAGACCATGAATCTTGGCCCCATTCATGCCTCATTTCTAAACAAAAAACTCAATATCAATATATTTCATTCATATCCATTTATCTTCATTTGATACTCCGTTGTCATCAACATAAAAGCTGGATTTTAAATTTTAAGAAATTAAAATTCTAAAAAGCATCATGTTTCCCTCATTTGAAGCGAAGAACACGGGCAGATTCAACAACCATAGGTAAGACCGTCGTACAGCTTATATTAGAAGTATCTAGCCCATAGACCAGCAAGAGAAAATCTTACATTAGTGTGTCAGCTATCAGCACATAACTTAGACACGAACAGTTGACAAAGTAAATTATCATATAAAATGGGATTGGGGAAAACAGAGTCTTCAATTGAGGGCCCAATACAGCTTCCTCCAGTTGCCTTCTTATTTCATTGCAGTTATGGCACAATAATGAAGAAAAACACAGATGTTCTGAGATCCTTTACCGAAAATTACATTTTCTCCATTATTATAAAATTTCAGAGTTGCCAAAAACAAGTTTTTCATACAGGTTGGGATCATAGAAATCTTAGCACCCTCTACATGACAAAGGATAGACAAACTGAATAGCCATCACCCATTTCTGAGGTCAACAAGACTATAAGACTCAAAAAAATGTTCACTAATTTAAATTACCTTAACTTCACTTGATGACAAGTAATGAAATGGGAAGAAGTATATGAAAATCTTTGATCAAACAGTCAGTCTACAAGGGAATGCAACTATTTCTAGGGCAGTAATAACTGACTTGAAACAAAAGAAAACGCGACATAATCAAGCACATTGTAAAAGGGTGAACTTTAGAGTTTTGGTTGCCGATCCATTTGAATAACAAAATAAGCTGCAACATTGCGTACTCTTGATCATACAATCATCCGCAAGGACACGTGTATGGTCAAGATGCAAGAAAAGTTGCAAATTATGAATGTTCATGAGCATTTTACCAAGAAAAATACAAAGGTTGCAAGGTCCGAAAGACGTATAGTACTTGTTGCAAAAAATGTTTACCCACCCACGTAAATACTTGGATTACTTATGTGTTAAAACATACCGGTCAACTTAATTCACAGGGAACAAGTTGGACAGACTTGTACCAAATATCGAACAAGAATAGGGTTCAAGTCAGCAAGTTTTCTTTGTTCGTCTCTAAACTGAAACAACAAACCCACACTTGCTGAAGAAAAGATTCAACTTGACAACAAAATCAACAAGAGAATGGTAAACAAAAAAGAATATGAATATTCAATCAAAATTAAGGCTCACCTCAGATGTTGGAAGGGGCAACGAGACTTGCCGTGAAGTTTTTCCAGGTCCAGTTAACTGGCTAATCTCCCTAATCTCCTGGACCTGGCGTGCAAAATCCTCCAAAAGTTTCAGTTGTAAATTCTCCCTTTCTCGGCTTTCCGAGCAGAGGCTAAGTTTGTCTCTCCCTTCCTGAATCAGCCTTAGCCTTTCACGAAGCCGCGCAACCTCACAATCAATTTTCACCATTTCACTCTCTACTGCAGACAGAGAAGGCTTCAGAGGTGGAAGACCACAGCTCGTCTGTGAGCTGCTTCTCTTTTTTCCATCATTAAAATGTGGGTCTTTAACTGACGTTGCATTAGACGAAGCGCCCGGTTCAGACGTTGGATCAGATGAAATGCTGGGTTGGGACGTTGTACCAGCTGAAGCGTTGGGTACAGATAGTCAATCTTTTGCTAGTTGTTTCAAACATGGGTCATAAAATGTACGATCATCTGTCTCCTTTCCATTATATATTATGATAATTTTTTCTGCTGGTTTATCTCCTTGGTTCTTCTCCTGAATATCCTCAAGTACTTCTGCATCCAATCGTGACCTATTATCTGCAGATACAAACTCCTTCTCCTGAAGTTCCGCATCCATCTGTACAGAGCTGCCATTCGATTGCCGTTTATTTCCGAAACTAGATCTTTCATTCTGAAAGCAAGTTAAAAGCTCATTTTCCATGGCATGCCTGGAATTGGGGTAGTCAGCTTGTTCATTCCCAAAACCGACCAGCTGCCTATATGCTTCAACCTCCTTTTCTAAAAAGAGCTTCTCCATCTCCCTCCTCACAAGAATCTCTTTCAGAATGTTCATTTCTTCAGCATCATAAGCAGATTTTTCTTCTAATATCCTCTGATATTGTCGAGCCTCGATTTCTATTGATGCCTTCTCCTCCTGAAGGCGAAGGATCATGGCCATAGCCTCATCAGCAGCACTAGCAGCTGCACTCCTCTCCTTTTCGAGCTCGATGTAAAGTGCAGCACGTGCAATACGTTCTTCTGCAAGAGTTTGTTCTAAGAATTTTACTTTGTTTTCGTCATCTCCACTTAAACTTTGAGCCCTTGGAGGATGATCGTATAGCTCTTCTACATATATTTCCTTTTCGTGCACATTGGCGTCGGATGAATAATTTTCATCACTGGGGATGGACATTTCTTTCAATCCTGCTTCTGTGGGATATGTATTGTCATCTGAAATTATTTACCAGCAAAAAGGAGTAGGATTAGAATGCATGAACAACGCCTGACAATTGTGGGCAGAAGCATATACATATATGTCAAGTAATAAGTTGTTGGTATCCAACGAATAATTGTGATGAAACAATTCCAAACAAACTCTTCGAATATCTATGCCTGCTTCACGCCTTGCTATGGATTAAGCAAACAAAGGCTGAAAGCATTCATGGTGGGCAAGCCTATATATGTTTAAATCATGGAGAGATTCTCACCTATCAGATTCCTGTTCAATATTGAGCAGAGAAACATATTTAATGATCTTAAAATGGCAACTAATATAATCTGCATGATCTACGTACTATGAATTAGGGAAAGCCTTGATGCACTATGAATTAGGGAAATCTACATAAACAAAACTGCCCTCGTTTAAGACATGTAAATGTTTTTATTGTGCAATACAGAAGATCATAGGCTCATTCATTCTAAATTCAGGAAAAAAAATCAACTAACAAATCTACCTGAATCACAACATAGCACGAAATAACCTATACATAGATTTGTAGGAACCAGAAGTAGCTGGACAACAACTGAATCATAAGAAAAACACCTTTACCCAATCAAATGAAACTCACATTCACCATTTACCAGAACAAGAGATCAATGAAACTCACATTCACCATTACCAAAATGATCAAAATGCTCCCCTTCCAAAACATCTTCATTGGAAAAAGTATCACACGACACGAGGGGTGGAAGTTTACGTCCATGAACACCCCTTTTTCGACGTCTCAACCGACTACTTATAGATCTATTACTACTCTTTATCCTCTTCCCCTTCAAATCAAGGCTCGTCCAACTTCTGGATGCCTCAACAGAATTATAACAGACGTCATCCTGTCTTTTGGGATGACTGAAAGGGAGTTTCTGCTCAACATCTGCTACTGTTTGGGCTGGGAATTCAAGTAAAAGCCTGTTGAGGCAGAGAACTCTAGCGTTGAGATTGAGGAAGGCGACGTACTCGCAAGGGCAGGGCAAGCTCATGCCCAAGAAGCCCAGGAATTTCGACGCCACGTAAGCAGCAGCTGATGCACACAGCAACAGGTACGCAATTGCAAGCTCAACAAAAGCGGCAACTAAACCGCCCAAAGACCACGCCTGCACGGCCTCGCATCCCATTTTTTCCGTCGGCCAAGTTTTGAGCTTTTTAGCCCAAAGCACACACACACACACAAAAGAGAAAAAAAAAAAAAAAGTCCTTTTTTTGAGAGAGAATATATTAGAAAAGTGGTGTGATTGTGTGAAGGTGGATTAAAAGAAGTTCAGCTACTAGAAACAAAGATGAACACGTAACAAATGCCGTCAAGTCACCTCTCCACTCAAAACATTAAAAAATGCCCTGTCTAATTTTTACTAGTATCTTTTAGCTTTAAGTATTATTAGTTATTATTATTAACTAATACTGCCACAAACGAATGCTTACGACAGCGAGGACCTAAGGGACTTCACGAGGGAACTAATAAAGCAACTTTTTTACAATGATTGGTACAGTCAATAGAATGTCAAGGGTTCCGTCTTAATGTCCAAATGATTTATTAAAACCAAATAATCATGTTATCAATCGCCAGGTTTTCGCTATGTTTATTTTTATGACAGTTTATCTCCTTGTTTGAGAGTTCTTTCTCTTCATGATTGAGATTTTTTCTCCTTGTGAGTTTTTCGTTATATTTATTTTTATGACAGTTTCTCTTCTTATTTGAGAGTTCCTTCTCTCTTGACTAAGAGTTCTTCTCCTTATGAGTTTTTCCGGTGAGTATACTGGTGCACTCTCTAGATTTTCTTCATTTCGCAATCTAAGGTTTCTACTTCATTTTGATTCGAGCTATGGACGAGGAACTAGGGCAAAAATTGGGTAAATTCACTCTATCCGAGGTCGAAGATGCGTATATTGATATAGAAAACATTGATGTCTCGCTCAGCGATGACAAATGCCATCGCAGTCCTTTCGGCAAAATCAGCGGTGAGAGAAAGGCCAACTGGGTTGGAGTGAAACAAACGATGAGCTACCTATGGAGATTAGGAAATTCTCTGGAGGTTCGCGAGCTAGGTAACAACAACTTCTAATTTCTTTTTCCAAACAGGAGCAAACTCACTAAAATTTTGGAAGGCAAAAATTGGATTTTCGAAAACCAGCACTTCATTTTAAAAGAATGGCAAGAAGGAATTTCAGCCACCCACCCATGTTTCGATGACCTAACTCTATGAATCCAAGCCCATGGTATTCCAATCAACTGGATGAGCACTAAGGTTGGGATAAAGCTGGGTAGAGTGTTCAACAACCTTAAAAATGTTAACATGGCTAAAGCTGGAGGCCAAGGAGGCAGAGTTATGAGAATGCAGGTAGATATAGACATCAAAGAGCCTCTTCCCCGCTGGACCAAAATTAGATTGGGAGATAAAGTTGCTACCATTCAATTTCTGTATGAAAAGCTAGTAAGTTTGTGCTATTATTGCGATAGAGTGGGACACTCAGACAATCCTGTCCCCAGAGGCAAGAAGACATCAATAACCACTCAGTGCAGGAATGGCAATATGGTTAATGGATGAAAGCGGTGGATGGTGCCATCATCTCCCAAACTCCCTCTCAAAGTTACTAATCAGAACCATCCACAGAAGGCCTGCAAACACAATACACATATCCAGCTAGTGGGAAAGGGTCAGAAACTTTCAAACAGTCAACTAGCAAGACCAAGGGAACCTCTATTTTCAGCAAGCAATCTGAAGGAAAGGGGAAAGAAAAAACTGGCATTGAAAAATCCTCTGCATCCATACCACTATCTGAACCTATGCAAAAAAGGAAAGAGATAGTCACGTTCAGTCTGCCTTAACTAAATGAGAAATTTATCCCTCCTTCTGCTCCTGAAGAACCAACTCAGCAAGGCATGGAAATTATTTCTATGCCTGAAAAAACAATAGCTATGGAAGGACCCAAAGATAAACAGCAAGGGAAAACATAGAAGAGAGCCCCTACCAAGATTGGCAGGCTAGCCAGACAATAGGGAGAGCAAGGAAACATTTCCAAACAGACAAGACAGAAGAGAGCAAATAGTGAGCTGATCATCTCAAAATCTGAAGACACTCAAACAGAACCATCATCTTAAAAGAAAATAAAGGCTTCTAATAGCAAGGTGGAGGCAGCCAGCCCCAAATGGCTCCCACTACCATCAAAAGGGCTATCATCAATATAGTCAATAAGACCACTAACATCAACAGTGTCCCTAGCAAAAATCTTGTGCAAAGGACTAAAAAGGATGCTCTCCCACGACAAATCAAAATCATCATCATCCTCAAAATCATCATCATCCTCAAAATAATCAGGAGGAGTACGCCATGCTAATGTGCCTTGGATGATCCACATCTCAGGGTCAGACAAGCCATGGTGTGGAACCGTAGAGGTCTGGGTGGATCCTCTATAGTCTCTCAGATAAGAGAGATCATGTCATCTCACCACCCCAACTACATTTTCTTGTCAAAAATCAAAAAACAAAAAAACAATTCTTTGGAAGTTTGTAGGAAGCTAGGTTTTGATAACAATTATTGTCTGGTGGAGCCTAATGGGACTAAAGGTGGTTTGATGCTGATGTGGGATTCTCTCCCGTCCATCTTTCATATCAATAGCTCTGAGTTTTTCATCCAAGTGCAAATTTCTCTTCCCTATGAAGACCATCCTCTATGGGTTATCTTTGTATATATAAGTATAGACAGAGAGACCAGAATCCAGCAATGGGACTATCCTGAGCAATGCAAAGATGATTGGGCTGACCACTAGGCTATCATTGGTGATTAGAATGATTTATGCAGTGATGAAAAAAAAAAGGGAGGTAGAACCAGATCACTCCAGTTTCACTGCTTTCAACAACTTTATCTCAACAATGGGAATGGTGGAGATTAACAAGATTGGCTACTAGTTTCTTGGGGAAACAACAGAATCCAAGAAGGATTTGTAGAAGAAAAATTAGACAGAGGCTTTGGTTCTTTGTCTTGGACTGCTAACCACCCTCAAGCCAGTATCTCAAATATTTTTAAAACTTCATCAGATCATGGTGTTTTGCTTCTAGATGATAATGGGAACCCTGGGAAATAGAAAAGGAGATTCACATTTGATAAACGGTGGATAAAAAGAGAGGGCTGGAAATAAATCATTGAAAAATCCTGGCTATTACTCAGCAAGGTACACCATTCTTCTGTTGGGTTCTATTAGTAACGTCGACAATGTGCACATTCAAATCTATTGAATAATAAATCCTAGCGTAGCGGAATCTATAGTTATGATTAGGACTTACGGTTTTAAAATTTTTGCCGACTCTGAGACGTTTCTGATTTCCGTTGATGGAGATCGTCTGAACACCAAAGTCTAATGGGCGGCTAGACTTGGCCTTTCTCGATTCTAATCGAGTCACCATGGTACTCCAATCGCTCATCAAGCTCATTGGATCGTCTCGGACCTTCGGTGAGTGAGTTGGACTCCTCGGACCGCTCGGGAACCGCCTTGGACAAGAACCGGAGCTGCTGGACCGAGCTGGGCCGGTTTGGAGCACGCTGGACCATCTGGACCGCTCCTGGACTGGGTCTGGGCTGGCTGGTCGCGATCTGGGCCGGTCTGAGACTGCCTGGACCGGTTGAACTATGCCTGGGCCGCGCTGGTGGTGTTCTGGGCGCATCTGGGCCGCTCTCTACGTCGCTGGGCCGCGCTGGAGCAAGCTGGGCCGCGGACCACGCATTTGGGCCAAGGGAACATCAAACTGGGCCGAAGGCAAGGCTGCTGGGCCGCGGACTCGGGCTGGCGGAACTGGGCTCACGCGGGCTGAAGATGGGCTTCTGCTGTGAGAAGGACTCGGGCCGCGCGCGGGCTGATGCGGGCTCAGATCTTCAATAACGCAGACCTTCAATAAAGTAGACGAACGGATCTGGGAAATATATTAAACGGAA